TCCTTTGTATAGGACAACTAACCCATCTGTCTGTATGATTTTGTTTTTAACACTTACTAGAAAATCTAATCTTAAAACATTTGAATTCTAAACATGTAAAATGTGAGAGCCTGCAATTTTGTAGACAGTGAAGTAATGGCTGCTATTTATAAATGGAATGTCTATCAAAATTAGTTTATAAAATTCAGTTTTTGTAGGATTATCCAAGGAAAAATCACCTTGATTGAATGTTTCTCACTCATTAAACTTTGCAGAAGTAATTCATATTCAGTACTGTTTTTAATCACTTTTTAAAATATAAGGACCGAATGTTTGCAAGGAAACCAAAGTTTATTAATAATTTTTATATAACTAAAATAAAGTAGATATGGAGGGATCTATGATTATATAAAAAGGGAGGGTTCCTGAAGGAATTTTAGCAATATATTGATCCAAGAAAAGGAGCTGTTTTATAAATGATCATTCACTGTTCCTCTGGTTCTATGTATCTTTCAAAACATACCTTTACTATTTAAAGAGAGTAAATAGTGAAAGTAAGATGGTCATACTTACTGACTTTATTTAAGTTTGATGGAGATAAACTATGTCTTAGCTAGTGGCTACTGTGTCTGTGAATTTAACAACTACTTCTTTAAGTCTTATTCAGGAGGGTTCTAGCCACTGTTTTTTTCTCGTTTCCTTCTAAAAGAGGTAATGACCAATTATTTTGTGTTTGTGTTTCCATTCCTTTTTATTTCGCTTTTGTGTAGACTAATGACTGCATAGTCAAACTACACTTTCATAGAGCCTCAAGAACTTAATGACCCCATTTGTAACTGAGAAATGCCTCCTGTTTTAGTAATCATTCTGTAAATGATACTGCTGGATTGATTGCCTTGGGTTGACAGCTGGAGGAATTGTTTTGGATAATACTAACAGGCCCGTGTGAATTTATGTCTTAGTTTTATTTGCAATCTTGCTAAGTAAAATGAGTCTTTGTGTCTACTTTTTTATTAAAGTGAAATACAGCAATAGCTAATATTAGGATAGGTGACATAAAGAAATAAAACATCCCTGACTAGTGAGTTAAGTACAAGATCTCTCTAAAAATGTATTCAGATGAAAATCTGTCCCCATTATCCATAGAGAAACAATAAAAAATGAATTTGTGAACACAGCATAATTCTTGTTAGGTACTAAAGAGATTTATCATTTTAAACAATTTACACACCACTGCAATTCTGCTCCAAAGGGCAGAGATAGTTTCAATTGACCCAAAACTCATTCTAATATCAGTTCAGTGGAAGAAATCCCAGTCTTTACTCCGGAAAGCTGCCCAGCTTAGGGCTGCCCGATAAAACATAGGATACCTAGTTAAATATTAATTTCAACAATGTATAATTGTTAGTATAAGTATCATATGTCCCAAATACTGCATGAGACATACTCATACTAAAGTATTTGTTTATGTGAAATTCATATTTAACTGGGTATCCTGTGTTTTTACTTGGTAAGTCTGGCAACCCTAGCCCAGGCTTTCTCAGGTTTTTCAACAGGGCTCCCAAGCTTTCTCTATTGGTTTGAGAGCCTGCTACACAAATAATATGATCTTAACAATTGAGTAGGTATGTAAAGAATGTAGTTACTGGAGTCAGACTGCAAAAGTTCAAATCAGTGCTCTACTACTTCTTAGGTGTGTGGTCTTGGATAAGTTTTTTGACCTCTCTAAGCCTGTGTTTCTTCATTTATAAAATGGGTTGAGTGGCTTATGAAATAATGCATATGAAGGGCTTTCACACTGTACTTGCATGTATGTATTCAAAAACAACTTATTTTCAATCTGGAGAAACAGGCTAGAAAACACACAGCTATTAAATGGGAACCACTAAGTAGAAAGCCAAACACGTGAAAAAAATGGAATCAGATTACAAATAGGACAGCACATAGAAGGGAATGATATGGCAATGTGGCAAACACAGTATTTAGGATATGTACCTCTACAAAAATGCAGTGTAGAAAGTAACCTGGTTTAAAGAAAGAAAAGAACCTGGTTTGGCCCTGTTGAGAGGAATTGTCCAGTTCTGGGCTCCAGTTTTAAAAAGGAAAAAATTTGTAATCTCAGCACTTTGGGAGGCTGAGGCGGGTGGATCACGAGGTCAACAGATCGAGACCATCCTGGTCAACATGGTGAAACCCCGTCTCTACTAAAAATACAAAAAATTAGCTGGGCATGGTGGTGCGTGCCTGTAATACCAGCTACTCAGGAGGCTGAGGCAGGAGAATTGCCTGAACCCAGGAGGCGGAGGTTGCAGTGAGCTGAGATCACACCATTGCACTCCAGCCTGGGTAACATGAGTGAAACTCGGTCTCAAAAAAAAAAGGAAAAAATTTGAAGAGGCTAGAAAGAAAACAAAATGTTAAAACCAAAAAGAAAAAAAAAATGTAAGCAATAAATCTCATACATTGATCCCAGAAAAGGCAGAAGGGAAATTTAATGACTTCACAATTATAAAAGTTACATAATGGTAGCTAAAAAAAGGAAATTCGCTTGAATAAAGGAGTATTTTTAAATAATTAAGATCAGGCTTGCTAAAGCTTCAAATGGGGAGCAGTTATTACCTGCAAATAGAAAATAGTCTTCTCCAATGGTCTGCAGAAATTGGGAAGACTGTGCTGTTTGCGATGGTTTCAATGTCATTCTTTCTGTATGAAACCTCCCTAGGTCTTCCCTAGGTCTAGGTTTCTAGAGTCTATATAGACATTTCAAAGGCCAGTTGTGACAGCATGTTTGCCAAGGGCTTGCTGCCATGGGCTACTCTACCTGAATTCATTTAAACTGGGATATGGCCATTATTTCTCCATTTCTCTGTAGAGCTAAGTAACCAGGCAACAGTAATTTTCCATTTTATTTTTTTATCCCCCCCAAAAGAATCACAGTAGGCTCAGAAGGAAACACTTTAAACCCATATATGATATGTTTTTATCATAATTTGGTTTTATTCCAGACTATGAGAGTGTTTTAAAAGCTTGATGGCATAAGCATACTAGATTTTAGATTGTTTATAAAATCTGTTTCTCTGGGCAGTTGGCTTTTTCATCTTTCTCTTTTCCCCTGTGTCCTTGCAAATTATTGGAGCAATTCAAAGACAATTACTGGTTGTCTTTAAAATCATGAAATGATTTTGGACTTGCATTTTTCAAGGATTGGGTAGTAGGGGAGGATGAAAGGTTAAATTTGATGGTTGCTGTCCCAGGAAGAGGAGGAGAAGAAACTAAAAAAGAAAATAAGGGAATAAGTGAAATAAAATTAATTCAAAAGTACAACTAAGAAGAATTTGGAATGTGAAATGACCGTGGGACTGGGGGCACCATGATCTTTTTGTCTCCATTTCCATTTTCATAAGATCACAGAATGTCAGAGATGAAAAGTATCTTAGAACTAAATCTTAGAAATAAATCCACAATAAAGCCTGTCTTACTCAGCCTGGTCTCTCCCAGGGTTCCTTTACATCAATATCCTTTCCTCAATAAATGTTCACTGAATGGATAAGGGGGTGGGAGGATGACCTTGCCTTGTAATTCAAATAACAGAGACCCAATCTAGTAAATGAAGCTATAACTACTTGTTGTCATAGTAACCTAACACCTGGATTATACATTCCCTAGATCTGTGAGGTATTTACAGGTTTAAAAATGTTTTCCAAATAGCGCATCATTTGAAGTATTTCATCTCACCCAATCCTTCCTCTACACATCCTGTCACCGTGATCCCCTCTGTCCTTCCCATCACTCACTGCTCGCTGGCTCCTTCCTACCTGTGTCTCTACAGCAAGCATTTATTATGCTCACACCACAAAGGGCCATTCTGGTCATTTTAAATTTTTTATCACTTTGGTTGGAGTAGAAGTGTATCAAACCCAGAGACATTTTATTTGAACACAAATTACTCCTAATGTCGGCAGGCCTAGTTTGCAAATAGCCCAGTTAATGTGTACTAGAGTAAATGACCAGAGACTTCCCAAAAAGAAGTCCCTTATTTTAAGAACCTAAGGTTCTGCCTAACATGATTTTCCTAGAGCAAATGTGAAATTCCATCTCCGTTCCTGGGAGTCTGGGAAAAATTGTGAAAGGAGAGTGTAAGAATATTGCTCCTTCCAGAAAGTTCTAACAAGCCCTATAACCTCAAGACAACCTGGAGAACAAATATCAGATGTTTCTCTAATATAATAGCATCCCACTTCATTAATTAATGTTTGAGAATCAACAGTAATTGCAGCCAAGAATGCTTTCCTTAACAAAATTGATCTCCTTCTCCTTGCCCATAGTCTCTACTATTTCACCCCTTATTTAGCATTCTGTGTTAATCCGTGCATGGTCTGGCTCCTCCAGAGGGAGACTCGAGAATCAAACTCCCGGCGTTGTGGCGCACGTCCGCCGTCCCGGCTACTGTGGAGGCAGAGGTGGAAGGATTGCTTGGGCCCAGGAGTCCAGGACTAGTCTGGGCAACATAGTGAGATCCCATCTTAGAAAAAGAATCCAACTGAATGTGCTGAGCTCCTACTAGAGCATCTAAAGCTGCCTGTGGGCCAGGCGTGGTGGCTCACACCTGTAGTCCCAGGTACTCAGGAGGCTGAGGCAGGAGAATCGCTTGAACCCAGGAGGTGGAGGTTGCAGTGAGCCGATATCGGGCCACTGCACTCCAGCCTGGGTGACAGAGGGAGACTCTCTCTCAATAATAATAATAGCAATAATCATGCTATGTAATAATCATAGTAATAATTATATAATTATGGTATATATTATAATGTATCCTATGATAATAATTATGCTATGTACTAATCAGAGTAATAATAACAGTAATAATCATGCTGCCTGTGCCCCCGATGAGGCAGCACTGGCCGCAGGTGGCCGCTAACCCCTTGAAATATAGATGGCCGGACCTGCGGCACATGCAAGTCAACACTACACCGGGTTTCAGAAACACGTACGATTTTCAAAAGAATTAAAATACCGCATTTAGTTTTTCTATTGATTGCATGTTGAAATCTCACTTTGGATATATTGGGTTAAATAAAGTATATCATTAAAATGTTTAAACTTATGTGCCTATAAGAAACTTCCAAAATTACACAGGTGGTTGCGGTATATTTCTCTTGGACAGCACTGGTCTGGAGGACGACAAAAATCAAGATACGTTTGAATCACGCCATGTCTTTAGGGAAAAGAAGAGTTTCCTTTCCTATTGCTTACGGGCTCCTCACAAGAATCAGCTGAAAGAGAAAAGCCCTGGCTCCCGCCCCAGTCACTTCTAATCCTGGTTCCCCGCGCCAAGAAAGCCAGGAACGGGCAAGCCTGGCAAGGCATTGAAAGGGAACAGGACCCCCCGAGTACAGGATGCGTTTTTGCCCCACAAAAGTCCCTTGAGGGTGGGGGACGGCAGCTGCTGAGGCTCAGGAAAGAGGGGAGCACACGGGATGAGGCCCTCAGAGTCAGGCACGCAGGACCTCGACCCCCAGGCTCCTCATTTCCAGGTTCGCAAGTGACCTCCCCAAGATGGCCGTCGCCGGGGGGGCGGTTCTCCGCGCGACACGGGTGTTGATTGGGTGAGACGACTCGATAGTGAGCAATGATTGGTTCACAAGGAGCGAGCTGGGCGGAACCGGAAGATGGTCTGAACCTGGGGTTGCCGGGGTCTTGGGGCTAGGCGTCTGTCCCCGGGGGATGTGGAGAGTCGGCAGCATGTCGGCAGAGCTGGGAGTCGGGTGCGCACTGCGGGCGGTGAACGAGCGCGTGCAGCAGGCGGTGGCGCGGCGGCCGCGGGTGAGGAAGGAGGCTGCGTGGGGACAGTGGGAGGACGCCCTGAGGAGAGGGACACCTGCGTGGGAATGGGTCGTCACGGTGACGCAGAGGGGTCTCCCGAAGAGGCGGGATCCGTCGGCCGCCGAGGGCCACCAAAAAGCTAGCGAAGGGTTTCCCCACCTTCCTTGCCCTGAGTCTGGTAGGTTTCTGGAGATTGGCTTCGTTGGAGCAGAGGGTACCGCTACCTCGGGAAAATGACTTCGTGTCCAGGCATCGTGGCCACTTGTGAACCGCGTCGAGCCGCGTCGTTTCGGGGTCGACAGCCTTGGCGGACGTGAGGGGGGCCAGGCCTGTGCCTACGGACAGTAAGGGGGTCGGGGGTACAAGAGCACCCCACGGAGGCCAGACCCGCCCGAAATCGCGAGTGTGGCAGCGTCTCACCTGCTAAGTGCCCTGGAAATGCCAGTGCCACCCGCAGGCTGAGATGAGGGTGGACTGGCCGGACTTCACTGGCACCACAGCGGCACTTGTTTGTGGGTGCGGGAGGGAGCAGTCCAATCCCAAGCCGGTTAAGGGGAGATTTCGTCTTTCGTGTATATATTTTTTACCTCCTCTTGGACTTATGATTAGACCAGGAATCAAAATCTGCCCACCTCAGTGCAAGTTTAAGCTGAATGGTGTGGAATGAGAAACATAGAGGTCACGGGTTTCTCTAATCGAGCATTTATGCTGGCTGAAGAGTAGCTCAGATTGCAGATGCCCACCATGCCTGACTAATTTTTTGCATTTTTAGTAGACACAGGGGTTTCACTATGTTGGCCAGGCTGTATTATAGTCTTTCCTTGACTGACTATTCTTTAGACATTACCTTGAACAAGTCAGACCCGCAGTATTTCCCTCCCTGTACAAGCAATGCAGTAATCTCTGAAAGCTCTGAGCTCCTTTCTGATGTTAATATTCTGTGATTCTTGGTGATTCTCCAAGAAAAATCTAGGACTTCCCCTAACAAACATCACCCTGGAGGTTCTCTCAGGGAAACGCTCAGGCACATGGGCTGCCTGTTCGGGTGACTCTGAAAAACATCAATTATCAGCATAATCCCAGTAGTCACGACTTGGACTCAAAAGAGGCTGGTTATGCATCCCTGTGGAAGGAAGGAAGAGGAGGCATTTTTCTAATTGACTGACTCCTTCATGTCCTTGAAAACACTGTGATTCTGTGAAAACTCCAGGGGGTGATAGATACAGGAAGACTGAATCATGCAAGGATAAATGAATCTCTTCTCTTACTGTTTCTGTGTGGATTGGGTCAGCAGAATGCATAGAACCCCTGCTCTTTGTGTAGTGGTCGTGCGAGGATGTCAGATAAGTCTAATCCTAAGTCCAGAGTAATTTTGTGTTGCAGTCTTAGTTCTGCCATTAGTTCTTTTCTTTTCTTTTCTTTTTTGAGATGGAGTCTCACTCTGTCACCCGGGCTGGAGTGCAATGATGTGATCTTGGCTCACTGCAACCTCTACCTCCCAGGTTCAAGTGATTCTCCTGCCTCAGCCTCCCGAGTAGCTCAGATTGCAGATGCCCACCACCATGCCTGGCTAATTTTTTGTATTTTTAGTAGTGACGGGTTTCACCATGTTGGCCAGGCTGGTCTCGAACTTCTAACCTCAGGTGATTCACCAACCTCGGCCTCCCAAAGTGCTGAGATTACAGGGGTGAGCCACTGTACCTGGCCGTGCCACTGGTTCTTAATTCACAGATTGAACAATCAATTACTTAGTTACCTAAGCAGGCCATTTGTAGGGTAAATGGGGCAGTGTTATTATGGTGTAATGATACACTAGGACCAGGATGAGTTACCAAAACTGCTAACATTAGGGTTTCAGAAGCCAGAAGTGACCTCTCTTTTGCTTAAAGAGTACAGCCTTCTATTAATGAAGTGATTCTTAAGTCTCCAACATTGGTATGTCTGAGAGTCATCTGGAGAGATTGTTGAAAAGTAAATTATTGGCTGGACGCAGTGGCTCACACCTGTAATCCCAGCACTTTGGGAGGCCAAGGCAGGCAGATCACGAGGTCAGGCGTTCAAGACCAGCCTG